TTGGATAAACAATAAAATTATTATTTGCCAGTAAGTGACATTATTAATAAAGAATAACATTAATAGAAAATAAAAATAAAGGACAATAGTTTTCTCATTTTGTTTGGTAAGGAGTTCACCAATACTGCCTAAATATGAAGTCTGAAGTTTTTTTAAAGATACCAAATTCTTAATATTTTGCAAAATATTTTTTTTGTTTTCTTACCCTTATGGGACTTTACAAACTGAAAATACTTCTGTGATGAATAAACATTTCTCTGAAGTTTAGTAGTTTCTTTGGTTTCACTTTAACTCATTTTCCTTTTGATAAATTCCTGTAAAATAAAATATAATACATTCACATTTTTAAAGTAGTTCATCTGGCCTGATCTTGTTTCTAGAAAATTCTCTTTGTCTGTCCACTTCTCATGCTCCTTGTAAGCACAGACAGAGAGATTCTGGAAAATCGCTCCCCGGCATTTATTAAGGCCATTCTCGCACTTCAGAAACGACAATGAATGTTCTTTCTTTTGTACTCTTAAGTAGATGATATTTCACAGTAAATGCTCAGAGTTCTATGCAGAGCTTAAAATTGAAAGATGTGATTATTTGGTGGACTACACTGTCATCTCATTCTTAAGTGCATTCCCCCAAAATGTGTACGTCTTAAAGACTTCAATGCCAGTGCAGATGACGTGGAAAGGCCATGCATGTTCAGAGGGTGCTTTGCCTGACAGAGTGTGTACTTGCTGAAGCTACACACAAGTTTATGTCCAACTGCACTGGCTTCTTATCCCACGTCTGTGATCCCCGTCTACATCCCTGCCTAGAGCTGTACCATACAGGAGGCTAATCACTATTAAATGAGGTTTGCAGTCCCTGGAATCCTGATCGAATGCCACTGTTCCTTAGTTGACAGCCAGCTGCATCAGTCTGGTGCATGAAACAATCAGGAGCATAACAAAAGAGCGACAGAGTCATAGTGTGGAAGGAAAGGCCCCAGGGAAAGAGGGAGGTGACTGTAACACTTGAAAAACAGGCCATGGGACCACTTCACATCCAGTTCAAAACTATCATAAAAATTGATCTCAAGAAACTGATAGTATCAACTATCTTTCTACCGACAGACAAGTTTTGGGTTTTCAGGACTGTTTTCCTCTCATGCTCTCCTAGGGTTTCCCACTGAGCAGTCTGAGCAGGACAGTCTCTTCTTGTAGAGACTTGTTCAGCCTATTGCAGGATTTTTAACCAATAAATACTCATAGTGCCTCTCAGTTCCTGCTACTGCTGAAAGATGTTCATCCACCTCTCCATCCCCACTCTGCAGCCAAAAGCCCTGCAGCCCCATGTTTGGGTATTCCCTTGTTTTCCAGTTTCCACTGGAGCAAGAAGAGATTTCTCTTGCTCACTGTTACATCCCTTGTGAGTAGTCCATAATAGGTACTCAACAAACACTTTGGAACACATGAACAACATCCAACACAGGATCTACTATGGAGAAATTAACCTTCCTAAATATTAACTTCAGCAAATCTACTCATTAAATCCCTGGAGAAAGAACACCAGAAAGGATGGGAGGGGCATGGCAGAAGCTGACCCTTGTTGACACTTCCCACGTGCCAGGTGGCGCACCAAGCCCTTGCATGTTGCCTTCTGAGGTCATTCTCACCACCCCTGCTTCACAGAGTCTGCGCCTGACATGGCGCCATAGTAAGCAGCAGAGAAGGATCTTGGCCCCACTTCCAAGTTCATGGTCTTTTTCTTCCACCCACTCTGACTGTCCCAGTGGGTTTTGTTCATCAACACTTGCCCTTCTTTTAGGAAACACATCTTCAGAGATTTCACAACATGCTGAATTTATTTTCCAGCAATGTCCAGACAAATTCCATCTTTTCAGAATCCTGGCTGCTTAAATAAAGCCAACTTATCTGTGCCATTACCTCAGTCAAGCTTCTGAAGGGTCAGACGACAAACAACTCGGCAAATGCCTTCAGCCACTCGCAGAAGGCATGCAACCCTTAATACACAACTACTGCAGCCTTAAGCAGCTTCTTTCTGAATCTGAAGAAAGCTCATTTTGTAAGTCTGGTTAGGCATGAGGGAGGAGAAAGGATGGAATAAAGCTGAATTTGTTAATTTCCCATCTCTATGCCAGGTTTTCCTTCTTGGGGAGCTGGGTCCAAGCACTGTCTATTTTGAAGCCCAGTTGGTTTGCCAGGAACCACAGGGCAATGGAAAAGACAAGCCTTTGGGCCTCTTCCCAAGGAGGGTGGCTGCTCTCTCCTTAGCAGAATTCGTGGAGAATCAAAAAGGAAGGAGGAAGGGAAGCAACTTCACCAGAAAGTCTTTGCAGCAGGGAGGTTGTTGCCCAGAGACTGGCTCTGCACTCTCCTTGATGATACAAGAACCCATCACTTGACTGCTTATGGTCTTTACTAGTGCTCTCTAGTCCAGCACCCCAGCTCTATCCCCAGCCATCCCCTTTGAAGTTTATAGCAAAGCTCCATGAGGCACCATTACGAAAGCCTCCTAACTCAGATTCCTCCCAGCAAAGATCCAGAAGACTCGTGCTTCTGTCTTCTACAGGGTGAGCGCGTCCAGCACCCTCCTGCCTCCTCTCCCTGTGCTCATGTCTGGACTGGCAGAGCAGCAGTGGGCATGCCATGCAGAGACATGTCAATAACTGAGGGGGCACCTGTGTCTATAGGCTCCACATTTTTACTTCAAATATTTGACACCATCTGCAACTCGCTTCCTAGGGAGCATGCTGTTGCTATGACCCTGCGCAGGCTGTGTGGGAAGCAAAGATTTAGCTTCCACAGGCCAAGAAACACATTGAAAAATACTGGGGTGTTTGCCACCTTTTCTAAAACCTGAAGACAGAGGAAGTAAATGCTGTTTAATTAAAGTCATAAATCTAGCTTTTGTCATATTTTGGCTTTGCTGTTGCTAAATCTAATCTGGTTGTACTTGTTTATCAAATGCTTTGACCACTGAGCAATATTTCTGAAATCAACAGAGATTGTTTCCCAGCTCTTGTCCTTCACCCCACTCCTGGGTGTGTATGACACTTGAGCCCACTTCTCAGCAGCCGTGGTGCCCAGTGTCACCCCCATGTGTGCGCTTCTCAGACCTGAATGAGTATTCAAATCCCTTGGGCTCCTTCCAGCGCCTATTCTGGGTCCGGGAGTGGGGCCACGAGTTTACATTTCTAACCCCCAGGTGGAGCCAATCTTCAACCCTTGCTTGAAGCTGCCGAGAGTAAAATGAGCACAGCAGGGACATGTGCATGAAGATCCAGGTCAGAACTTATCAGTCTTAGCTGCACACTAGCATCATGTGCAGAGTTTTGAAAATGCCAATGCCCCGTCCAGATGCACCCCAGAGCCATTAAGTCAGAATCTCGGGGGAGGGACCTAGGCATCAGCTTCATCTAAATATCTCTCAAAGAAATAGCCATGTAGGTCAACGGTAAGGGTCTCTGCTCTCAAGGCTTAAAGGAAGGAGGGTCACATGACTGAAGGAGAAAGGGCTCTAAAAACAAGGCTGTATCTGCTCAGAAAAGAGCACCTGCCCTCACTTCAGGGTGGGTTTCAGTCAGCTTTCGCTAGGGGGCAGCAGAAGACTTACAGGAATGGTGGACTTTGTAAAGCTCTGTAAATCCTTGAATTCTAAGCTAGCCCGGTGTGGTCACACCCAGGCTACACATAGGCTTCCTTGCCCTGAAGGTCTGTGTTGCTCTACCCTCGCCTTCCCCAGAATCCACAGATCATCAGCAAAGCAGCTGTTTGCCCACTACTCAGCCAGTGCACTTCCCACCAACGCAGGCTAAAAGGCTGGTCAGGGTTCATCATGGGCAGCCAATGCAGTATGCAGGGCTAGGTTTGAAAGACTGTCGATCTGCTGGAGTAAAGCCACCACCCAGAAAGTCACATAAGCATGTTATGCCATATGGAAGCATGCTACGCAAAAGCACAGAGAAGGGGCAATCTTCCCCACAATGTGCTGTGGTAGGATGACCCAGCCCTGAGGCCCGCTTCATCTGCTGCTTAGAACAGACCTGGGATTTAACACCAGCCTATTATCGGACATGCCTACCCCACCCAGCACCACTCTCATCCTATCCTAAACATCTCCACCTTGCCTGACAGCTGCCCTTTCCCCACCAAGAGGACCTTCGCCAGTCACCCACCCCTGGGTTTGCTGGAATGAGAAGCTCCAGGGACAGCGCCTGGTGAGATCTGTCCCTTGGTCCATGCCCTCCCAGGGACGGTCCTTCCTGCCCACTCTACACTGGTGTTGCTCTTAGAAAACAAACATCTGTGCAGGGGGAAGGGTCAAAGTTTTATTCAATAAGAAGGACTTGAAGGACATGCTCAACCAAGCCCTAGAGGCAGTCGAGTGCAGTAAGTCTGTATCCCCATGCAAGGAGGGAAGAGGGTTATATGCCACCCCAGCTTGCACCCAAATAGACCTAGCTCACGCCATGCTCCAGTGCCTGAAAAGAGAAGTGTGCTTGTACATATTGAACCCAAAGACCATAAGCTTCAACTACCAAAAGCTGGGATCCAGAGAGCATCAAGGACCCACCAGTGTGGTCACTGAAGGAGAGATAGAAATCTGCAAAGAAGGGTCCAAGGCCCTGAGCAAGAGGCTGGATGGTGCCATTGTGAAAGAGCCCAGGTCAGCTCATGAGAAGGCTGAGTCAATCCCAGGTCCTGGGATTAGATAGAGTCACTGGGATAGAGTCCCAGGTCCTGGGATAGAGTCATTGTGTGACTCTAGGCAGGTTCCTTTGTGACTCTGGGTCTGTCAAATGAAAAAATAATAATAATAATGATAATAAAAACAGCAACATGAGTCTTTTCCACCCCATCATTGGATCGTCTGAGGAAACACATACAGCTAGAGAAAAAAAAGGTCTTTGTAGCTTAAAAAATCATACATGCACAATGGTTCTAAACAGTGCAGAATTTGTAGCCATAGTCTCCAATCTACAGTGAATACTTCATTCATTCATCAAGTATTTATTAAGCACATACTCAGTGCAAGATACTGTACCAAAAGGAAAACAAAGAAACTCTCCTTGAGGGGTTCCCACCCATCTAGTAGAAATGGGATGTGTATACACACAGCAATGATGGAGAGACAACCGTAGGAGGCAGGCAAATTCTTGTCATCTCATAGGTAAGATGAACAAAGACACAGAGAGTTTGTAGAACTTGCACAGTTAGTAGGTAGGGAAGCTAGAATTTGAATCCAGAAAGTCTGGCCCCACTATACATCCTTTAAATAATTACCAAAAGTCACCTAGGGGCCGCTTACAGGGTGCATG